ACAGCAGTGTGTCCTATACAGTAATGTGTAGTGGGGACACATTCTAACCAGTGACAGCAAGAACAGCATAGAGAGAAAGGACTAGTAAGATAGGGAGATGGAAGAGAATGCTGCTTGCGTTTCTGATTGGTTTCTACATCCTGACTACAGTTCCTGGCTGAAGCCTGCCATTGAGCTTCCTACAGCACAGAATACTATAAAACAAATATTCATAACAAAATACAAAAAAGATGGATTCTATTAGATACAACCTAAGAGTTCTATTAATATTAATACAAAGTGTGAAGGACTTAGGAAAGGGTTTGAAATATGATGATTGTACAAGTAACTGATATTTGGCTTCCTATGCAAGGAGGGTACATCAAAACAGGCTAGCCTTGATGAGCTGTGCCAAAGTCTCTGTTGGAGGTCTATAAATAATCTGTAAGAATTTAGCCCACTCAGTAACAGTATTCCATCTCTCAGTGTCTAAAGGGAAAAAAAAAAAGGTGCCTACCATAGAGGCAGGCTTTGTGATGGAAAGGAGACTGCAGACAATGGTAGAGGGATGTGGACACTGATGAAAGGATGATGAATCATATGCCTGAAACTCAATTACAAATAACTTTGTAACTCATAGTGATTCAATAACATTTTTTTTTAAAAAATGTAAAGAATTTCACAGAAGTCAAGCAAAATAAATAAATAATACAAAATTTGCCACAAATGTGTAAAGATAATTTTTTGGAAGAATCCAACCTCAATGTCCTGCTAGACTCAAAAATGTTCCATTGCTTAAGCATACCATAAAGGAGAAAGACATTTTAGAAAACCAGAATAAAAATACAACAATAAATATTCGTATATAGAATCACCTGTCCAAATTCATAGCCTAAAGACTAGTTACATTTTCAGATAACTGACTAACATTAAAAAAAAAAAGTGGATTACTGAGGCTGGAGAGATAGTGCAGGGGTGCATGCCTCGCACGAAGACAGTTCTGGTTCATCCTTGGCACTACACTGGAATCCCCAGAAACCCACTTGGCTAAGAATTACTGGGAGTGAAGAACTGCTGGAACAGAATCTACCAAAGTACCACTTGGGAAGTCCCTCCCCCTACATCACCAGAAAATGTTTATTACCTGCAACTCATATTGTCCTAGACTCCAATTTTTCCTTGACAATGACGACAGAACATACATTTCTACATTTTGTGACCTAAAATGCAATATACTTGTATTGCCCCAGCTAAAGGCTACTTTACCTAATAATAAGAACACAATATTGAAAGACCATCTTTTTGAAGAAGGCAGGTTCAGTCTGCATGGTTATCAGAAGGAGAGTTAGTTTTGGGGATTAAGACGCATGCCCTGATTGCAGTTGATGCCAATTCAATCCCCAACACAACATGGTCTTCTTAGCATTGATGGGTACAGTCCTGAGGTCGCCCCACCACCCAAGCTGAATATAGCACTAAAGTCACCTAAGAACCATTAGAGTGACCAGGCTAATCCCCAGCACCACAGGGTCCAAGCAGTTTCATCTCCTTAGAGCTCACATTGAACCACTGGCCTAGTTGGGTGAGAGTGACCAGAAGTGGCCCCCAGGTCCCCTTAACACTAATTAGGAAGCGCTAACTCCCCAGCAAATAAAGGATATTGGTGGTATATAGGTGCATTATGAAAAATAAAGGAATAGAATGCAAAAGAAATCACTTAGTGAATGGTACTGCCATAGATAAAATACACTTCAATTTCATAAGCCAACGTTTATATATACTCAGATAAAGCAGCTAAGAATCAAATTATAATATGGCAAGCTTGTTGCAATCACTCTATTTTACCTCATTTGTTCTTGCAAAAGAATTTATAATAGAATTATATACTTGAGGAAACAATATTGCTACTAATTATGTGACTATACCGCACTAACTTTCAGAAGACAAAATAATAATTTCACAAAGCTACTTCAATTTTATGTATGAATACTCTAACCGACCTCTTTTAGTTTAATATGTTATAGATGAAATATATGAAGTATAAAAAATCTGAACCAATTGGTAGCATTGTTTTCCTAAAAAAAGAGGTAATCTTTTTTAAAAATCACAACTACATGGACATTTTTTTAAATATTTTTTAATTAGTGAAACACCATGAGGTACAGTTATAGACTTACAAATTTTTGTGCTTGGGTTTCAGTTATACAATGATCAAGTACCCATCCCTCCATCAGCACCCATCCTCCACCACCACGGATCCCAGTATCCCTCCCACACGCCATCCCCCCACCCCACCCTGCCTCTGTGGCAGGGCATTCCCTTTTGTTCTCTCTCTCTCCTTTTGGGTCCTGTGGTTTGCAAGAGAGGCATTGAGTGGCAATCATGTTTGGTCTATAGTCCACTTTCAGCATGCTTCTCCCACCCTGGGAGGATCCTCCCAACACCCTTTATTTGGTACTCTCTTCTCTATCTGAGCTTCCTTTTCCCCTAGCACGTATGGCTGGCCTCCAAGTCATGGAGCAAAATTCCTGGTACTAATCTCGGCAACTCCTGGGTGTTAGTCTCCCATTTTGTTGCTTTATGTTCTACATGGGCATTTTTTAACCTATGATTCTGCGGGGGGAAAAAAAAACCTCTATGCACATTTAGTCCATAATTTCATTAATAAAATATCTTACATCTGATCTTTTATGAATATATTTTTCCCACATCCCATCCTTGCATACAAAAAAATAACATTTAAAGAGTCTATGTAAAACCCCCTGAAATATATTTAGAATTTGATTCTCCCTAATTAGTAAGGCTACCAGTAATTGTGAAACCATCAGTGATATTCTAAATAATATTATTTATCAACACTAGAGGGTGCTGTAATTCAATCGGCCTGGAATCTGACTGACACTTTGAAGAACTTTTTTCTCTCCATTAAAGGATACACAAAGCACTGGTTGAACTCCACAAGAAGAAAACATCCAACCCCATCAAAAAGTGGGGCGACAAAATGAACAGAAACTTTCTCAAAGAAGAAATCCAAATGGCTAAAAGGCACATGAGAAAATGTTCTACATCATTAATCATCAGGGAGGTGCAGATCAAAACAACAATGAGATATCATTTCACACCACAAAGACTGGCCCACATTCAAAAGAACAAAAGCAACCTGTGTTGGCAAGGATGTGGCGAGAAAGGGACCCTCCTTCACTGCTGGTGGGAATGCCAACTGGTTCAACCCTTTTGGAAAACAGTATGGACGATTCTCAAAAAATTAGAAATTGAGCTCCCATTTGACTCAGCAATACCACTCCTGGGAATATACCCCGGAGAGGCAAAAAAGTATAATCGAAGTGACATCTGCACTTGTTTGTTCATTGCAGCACTGTTTACAATAGCTAGAATCTGGAAAAACCTGAGTGCCCGAGAACAGATGACTGGTTAAAGAAACTTTGGTACATCTACACAATGGAGTACTATGTAGCTATTAGAAAAAAATGAAGTCATGAAATATACATACAAATGGTACTACATGGAAAATATCATGCTAAGCAAAATGAGTCAGAAAGAGAGGGACAGACATAGAAAGATTGCATTCATCTGGGTAACATAAAGTAACAAAATAAGAGACTAACATGCAAGAACAGCTGTGATATATACCAGGTTGTTCACTCCATGGCTTCGAGGCCAACTGCACACTCTAGGGGTAAAGGCAGCTCAGATAGAGAAGGGAGCACCAAATAAAGGGTGCTGGGAAGATCCGCCCAGGATGGGAGAGGCATGCTGAAAGTAGACTATAGACCAAATATGATGGCCACCCAATGCCTCTTTTGCAAACCACAGCACCCAAAAGGAGAGAGAAAACAAATGGGAGTGTGCCCTGCCACAGAGGCAGGGTGGGATGGGGGATGGGGGAGTGGGAGGGATACTGGGATTGGTGAGGGTGGAGAATGGGCACTGGTGGCGGGATGGGTACCCGATCATTGTATAACTGAAACCCAAGCACAACAACTTGTCCAAGTCTACAATACCATGTACCTCATGGTGTTTCACTAATAAAACAAAAACTAAAAAAATTTAAAAAAAGGTAAATTAAGATCATCTTTAGTAACAACAAATGTTGTTTGTGAGAATAAGGATAAGGAATAAGGAAAATATATAAAATGAACTATTCTCTCCTCTCTCTCTCTTTCTCTTTCTCTCTCTCTCTCTCTCTCTCTCTCTCTCTCACACACACACACACACACACACACACACACACACACACACGTATGCAATCTCACACAAAACCTACTTCCTAAAAGGTAAGTGTCCCGCTTATTGCTTATTCTATTAATACTTTTCCTAATGAACTATTAAGCACTGCAAAGGAAATTTAAACACTGGTACTAGCTGTTCTGTAGTGGCTTTGAGGGTCACTACAAATTTACAGAAGACCCAGAAAATTACTCCAGATTACTGATGCTATGGAAATATGATGTTAAGGAAAAGCCAAAGACATGATTCAAGCAAGTTCACAATCTCCCTGACTAGGAAAATGCCAGTCAGAATTATTCAGACTGCTGAAGCCAAGAAAAACTCTGAACATGTAAACACTGTGTTTTAAGTGTGTCTTTGGGTGCCTACACACACTTTCCCTTCTACATTTAACTGCCAGCAACTATTTGTCAGATTCTTAGAACTCTTATTATACTCTAAATACCAGGTTGTCTACATTACTATTCAATGCCTCATTCTTTGATACTTCCTATTCAATAGATGATAGCACACGCCCACAAAATCTTGTTAGTGATGTGAAATATTCACACAACTGCTCTTATATGAGGGTCCTGAATCAAAACATACTTTCATTTGACAGAAAAGTATGGCTTTGAGTTGGTCAGTTATGAGAAAAACTGTAGTTCTTTTTATAAAGTCTCAATCATCTTGAAATTTTATTTATCAACACAAACTAATCTCAGTAATAGGTTATATAAAATTTTCAAACTGTCAGAACAGAATACCCTATTCAAATAAATTAAGGAAGATACCTGCTTTCCATGATTCTTGAATCTGTCTGCAAACTAATAGTTTCTGTTGTAATTTCCACCTTCCGTACACTTCCAAAGAAATCAGTTATCAAGACATTTTTAGGATCCCTCTGAAAAAGATCAGTACGATGCCCAGGAGTAGACACACACAGACTTTTGGGGCATACCTGAAACTGAAAGGCATATTTATATATAAATAAATGTATGCCAACATACATATATATGTACAACTTTATTAAATGCAATTAACATTATATAATAATTCTATAGTGCATTTTCAAAGCTCTCTCATCCGAAACAATCTGCTGATACTATAGATTAGAAATTCATTCTAAACAGAATGCTAAGAAGGATATGCAGATATTTTAAAAAGACAATATAGGGGGCTGGAGCAATAGCACAGCGGGTAGGGCGTTTGCCTTGCACGCAGCCAACATGGCCAACACAGGTTCGATTCCCAGCATTCCATATGGTCCCCCGAGCACTGCCAGGAGTGATTCCTGAGTTCATGAGCCAGGAGTAACCCCTGAGTACCGCCGGGTGTGACCCAAAAAGAAAAAAAAAAAGACAATATAAAGGGAAGATGGTTAGGAAAAGGTAAAAATGCATTTTTAAAAATCATAAATTCAAATATAAAAAATTCAAAATATACTATACTTTGAATCCTTAAATCTGTAAGAACTAACAAACAATACTATGACAGCAGAACTGAATTGCCTCTTTCTGCATTGATGCGAGGTTCTCAATGTGGTTTCATTTTTTTTTTGAAGCAAAACAGATTTTATTTGGAGGGCTTGAAGGTGTGGAGAAGAGATGGGGGGAAGAAAGAGAGAGAGAGAGAGAGAGAGATGTGCTCAAGAGAGAATGTGGACTTCCCCAAGGGTGGAGAGAGCCCCTACACATATCTCAGAACTAACACAAAAGTATGAAAGTACACATCTCAAGAGAGGAGATGCGAGTGACACATGTGCTCGGCCACCACATGTGCTCGGCCACATGGGCACAAGCAGCACATGGGCTCAGACAGCACAAGCACGCAATGTGGCTTCATTTTGAAATCATAACCCTTCATTTAAATTTGATGCAAATTTGAGTACACAATAGACCAATATGTAAGGAAAAAATGAAAATAAAGCTACTCTCCACTGTAGGATGTTGGGAATATAAAGCCTCCTCCAGAGGTCCCCTTTACTCCCCTGAGATAAATCTATGTGATCTAGTCTATAAATCAAGTAACTTTTTGGAGGGATGGGTACTCGAATATTGTATAACTGAAACTAAAAATTAAGTAGCAATTATAAGTAATAAGAAACTTTCATTTCCTATAAAGTTTCAATGGAAAAAATATTTTATAAAATCTATTATTTTAAAGTGTGAAGTGCATACACTTAAAACTTTTGAGATAGAGTGGCATGTATTATATAAACAATTTAATGTATAATCAAAACATGAGAATAAACTTTAAAATTAAAGTAACTATAAATAAATTAATCCTATTTTTCTTATGGTTAAAGTAGTATTATCACAAACTTGCTTTAATATGTACATCAAGATACAAGAGGGACCAAAACACATAATCTTCAAAATGTATTAAGTTCTATTTTGACAAATTTGACATCCCATGGTAGTAGAGACTATAATTTTGCACTAAAATCCATTTAATAAATTAAGATTTTCTTGAAAAGCTTCTTATGCAGAAAATCAGTGCAAGTTTGCCCAGATACAATGCTAGAGTTCAGACTCCTGGTGCCTCAGTTTTCCCTTAGCTGACCTTCCCCTGACCACCTCCTTGGAGTTTCGGAGATGGTACCAACCTCTTTCACTACAGCAAAGACAGTGTCTAACCCTTAGCAAAAACTCAAAAATGTTTGTGAATAAATAAGCAAGGAATAAATCAAGAAGGGAACGGAGAAAGTCACTGATATACAGTAATTATCCAGTCAAAAATGATTTCAAGTCCTCTTCTGAAGCCTACAAAAGTAGGCATCAAAAAAAATCAATTTCAAAATAAGTTTAACAAAAAGGACACAGCACAGAAAAGCTGAAGAAAAAAAGTGAAAGATAAATCCAACAAGTCACTTTAAGCCACCACATAAGAAGTTGTAGGGCGCACAAAAATATATAAGATCTCTCTCCTCTACCAACTTCTCACTACATTAAAAAGATACAAATATGGAGGAGGGGGAGTTTTTAAAAGACTGATCTTTATCTAATAAGATAAAGAATTTAATAAAATTCCAACAGGCAAGAAAATGAGATTTTAAAAAATTCCTGGGAATAAAATATAACATTTGACTCCAAAGAATTTTAACATTGGAATCTTTTTAAAAGTCCATAATTGTCATGAGGAAGAATATAGGCAATGAACCACAGTATCTCAGAGAACAGCAAGTCAATCAAGTTAAGTTTTAAACCTGTTGGGGTAAAGAGAGAAAGATGTGAAAATTGATCGGAGACAATTTAAAAGGCCACTATTCAACATATGAAGTAGCATCCTAGAAGTCCAGGGAATAAATACACTTATCACCTCATTTATGTACTATAAATCAGGCAAATACTTACAAGATCATTCATATTTGTTTGGCTTGCTGGATTAATTTCTTCCAAAAATTCTAAGACATAATATGTATATCTATCCATAAGATGGACTCCAATCGCAGGATCAGGTTGATGCTATTTAAAAAAAAAAAGTTTTAATAAATCCTTTTTAAAAACGTGTCTAAAAATATTACTAAGACAAAATGTTTATTATATAATCTATGTCCTTCTAAGGTTTAAAAAAAAGACAAAAATTAGAAATAACAAGAATAGGGCCCAAGACTAGCTCAGTGGTACAATATCTGCCTTATAAGCATGAGGCAGGCACAGGTCAAATCCCCAATCCCAGCCCATGCCGATTAATCTTTGAGCACTGTCACGTGTGACCCCTGCACCACAAGACCATGATCTCTGACACACCACAACCACACAACCAAGAGTATGTAAACACTACAACTGCAGAATGTACCCTGGAGTGAGGACCACAATTAAGTGTAGGAGCAATACAATCAGAAGTTCAACCCATGGTCACTGCAACAGTGACAAAGAGGAATGGGGAGGGTAATGGATTATTTTTAAAGCAGGGGTGGGATGGAGAGCATTCAATATCAGGAACTTTGCATTCAGGACACCTGGGTTCAATCTGGCACCAGATGGTTCCCTGAGCATTGCCAGGAGCTACCCTGGAACACCAAGCTGGGAGCACTCTCTGAGCACCATTGAGTTGTGGCCCCCAAATAAACGCTGACTGTTTCTGAGCCACATTTGGCTATTCCTAGGATTACCCCTGGCTCTGTGTACAGGGATCACGCAGGGTCAGGCGACCATATACAGGAGACCAAACCTAGGTTAGCAAGTGTGTAAGTGAAGTTCCTTACGCACCATACTATCTCTCCCAAATTTTTTTAAATTTGCTCAGCGATTTGCTCAGCGGGCCCAGTAACGTCTCCATTGGAGACTTTGTTGTTACTGTGTCTGGCATATCGAATACTCTCGGTAGCTTGCCGGGCTCTCCAAGAGGGGCGGAGGAATCGAACTCGGGTCGGCCATGTTGGCCGCTTGTAAGGCGAACGCCCTACCCGCTGTGCTATCGCTCCCACACCATATTTGATGGGGTGTAAAATAGAAGAAGGCAACCAATCTCAAAATATACATACACTCAAGGCTCAACCTTTAACAACATGTTAGTAATCTCTTAAACAGGGTTTAATGGCTCCAGGATGAAATACAACAATCTTTACATACTTTCCTCTAAGGAAAATTTTGTATCAGTTTTAGTTTATTATTCACAACAAGTAATACAAAATAAATTATTTAGGTTCTGCTTTAGGGGCAGGCTTTGGGGATTGGGGTGGAAATATTTGAAATATGGTGGTGGAAAGGTGTAATGGTGGTAGGGCTGATGTTGGGATAGTAAATGTAATAAATTATTATAAAAAATAAAATAAAAATAATTTTTTAAAAAATTAGAAAAAAAAGAAATTTTTTCAGTAAAGATTTTTAACATTGAAGGATACTCAAGTGGTAGAATCAATCTGCAAGTGCCTCAACCCTGTATTATCTCCTGGGACGACAAAATTTACTTTTACTATAAGTTGTATCACTTGTCATCCCAGTGATCATCGATTTGCTCAAGCAGGCGCCAGTAAGTCACCTAAAAATATTCTAGTATTATTTTCATGGTACCCTTCCCTGGTCTTAATGTTCCACATGCACACACAATGATACACATACACTTTATGTGTTACAGATAATATAGTTAACTCACCTTTATCACTATTTACTGGATTTTATTTTAACAACCAGAGGCAAATAATTATCTTTAATTATTATATATTCCGAAATCCAACATGCCATCTCGTCGGTAAAGAAACAAAGAGCACCTGGCGCAGACAAGATCAGACCTGAACACCTGAAGAACTTACCATCAGTACTCATCAATACATTGGCTCGACTCTTCACACGCTACCTGTCTGAATGCAAGGTTCCATCCCAATGGAAAACCAGCAAGACTGTACTACTATACAAGAAAGGAGACATCCACGACATTGGCAACTATAGCTCAATCTGCCTATTGTCTGTCATCTACAAACTATTCACTCGAGTCATCCTGAATAGGATTAGCAGAACACTAGATGAAGGACAACCATGTGAACAAGCTGGATTCCGAAAAGGATTCAGTACCATCGACCATATCCACACAGTAACCAAGCTCATTGAGGTATCTCGGGAGTTCAAGATGCCACTCTGTCTAACGTTCATTGATTTAAAGAAGGCCTTTGATTCTGTTGAGACGGAAGCGGTCATAGAAGCCCTAGCCAATCAGGGCGTACAAACTCAATACATCAGGATCCTTCGTGAGCTCTATTGCGGATTCACTACCAAGATCTCACCATTCTACAAAGAAGTAATCATCCATATCAAGAGAGGGGTTCGGCAGGGTGATACCATTTCACCGAAACTCTTCAGTGCCACCCTCGAGAACATCATGCGACTGCTGGAATGGGAAAACATGGGAGTGAAGATAGATGGTCGGCAACTACACCACCTCTGCTTTGCTGATGACATCGTTCTAATAACACCAAACATCAACCAAGCGGCACAAATGCTGAACGACTTTGACCGTGAATGTGGTAAGGTCGGACTACAGCTGAATCTTGCGAAGACAATGTTTATGAGAAACAGCCTTGTTCCTGACGCTCCATTCGCTCTCATTTTTTTAAATAAAAGAAAAAATTGATATCTTCATAAAGTATGTAAGTTATTTCAATAATGGTTACATTTTCAAAAGACAAAAAAAAAGAATGGTAAGAATGCACCTACCGAGAGAGAATCTTCTCCCACTTGGCTACTAGCTAAAGCCATTATATTAGGAGAATAAAATCGCTCATACATGGATGCTCCTTGACAAGTATCAATAATAAAAAGCAGTTCATTGTAGCTGAAAGAAAAGAGAGAACATCTTAGGCATAATTAATCATTAGTGACACACTAATATTCTTACATTTTCATAACATATTTAAGCCACTTCTTATTTTATTCATTTAAAAAAGGGGAGGAAGGGGACTGGGTTTGCAACAGACTATCCCAATACAAATCTAGTATTCCAAAAATGAAAGGTATAATTCTATCAAGAGGAACACCTCAACTCCAACACTTTCCCCTTTATCTATGGATGTCACATGGTGCAGAATCCAGATGAACATTTAATTCAACGGACACTGATTTAGCATCTACTACTCTGTCCAAGAAACTGAGTCAGGTTCAGAAAAAAAAAATCAATCATCATACTCAATGAGCTTAAAATCTAACTGGAAAAAAGACATAAACCTAACTAAATTGGAATGTGAGTTACAAGTATTTACTGAAACCTGACATTATTCCAGAGACACAAAATTTCTACCCTAATAGTTTTGAGTTTATTTGGGTCAAAGTGCTCTAACAGCTCTGAAAGAGGAACAGGGAACATTAAGACAGGGAAGTCAGGGAAAGGGGATGTTGTTTAACACGTGCACTGAACAGATTAAAAAAAAAAAGATAAAGAACCACATTTCAGCAGAAGAAAAACCTTATTCCAAGGTACATTAAAGAAAAAAATACTTAGGAAAAGGGCCAGAATAGTGTACTACTAGTTTTAGAGTAAATTTGAGAGGTTGAGGAAAAATGGAAAGTAGAAACCTATACAAAATCTGGATCTTACCTTTTACAATTGAGGAAGCCAAAGGCTTGTTTTTAACTGAAAGAATAATATAACCAGCTCTATATTTTAGAATGAGCTGGCTATCTGGTAAAGGTAAAAGTAAGGCGCAGCACTGGAGAGACAGTATAGGAGTTAAGGCACCTGTTTTGCACTCTGCTGACCTGGGTTTGAATCCCAGCACCAAACTGGTCCCACAAGCACAACCAGAAGGGATTCTCAGGAATTGCTCAGGCACAGATATAGGAATAATCCTTAAGCAATGTGGGTGTTGCCAAAAAAATTAAATTAAATTAAAAAAATAAATAAATAATAAAATTAATAGGGAAAAGATATGTTTTCTTGAAGATGTCTCCAGACACTAGATCTAGATAAACAGTTCAATCATGCAATGCTGAACCCCAAAATTTAAGAGATAGCAAAAGGCACAAGTTGTGTGACATATTGATATGAGACAACTATGTCAGGCCCCTCAGGATAAGAAAATCTAAGTCTCAGGGCTGGAGCGGTAGCACAGCGGGTAGGGCATTTGCCTTGCACGCAGCAGACCTGGGTTCAATTCCCAGCATCCTATATGGTTCCCCTGAGCACCGCCAGGAGTAATTCCTGAGTGCATGAGCCAGTGTGCAATGCTGGGTGTGACCAACAAAGGAAAAGCGAAGAAAAAAAAAAAGAGAGAATCTAAGACTCTAGTAAGAGGCACCACAGTGAAAACAAGTAAGAGAGCCTACTCATGCCCTGACCCCTGGGTATAAAACTTAGGGTGGGCACTTTCAAGCTAAGTAAAAGTTGGCAAGTTATTGAGGAATGATAATATCCACTTCAAGTTATTAAAATTAAATAAGACAATTCATGTAAAACATAGTATCCAGTACCTAGTACACATTTAATATTTATAAGTTATGAATAAGTCAGAATAACAAGTGTGTCCTCCTAATCTGACTGAAATGACTGCAATAAATTGAAATCTCATAAAGAACTACAAATCCATGAAAATTAGTGATTTTTCAAGAAAGTAATCATTTCCTAATTATAATTACCGTCTTTTCTGCCACATTTGTTCAAAAGCATCTGCAAGTTCTATGTTGGTAATTTCTTCAGAATCTTGAAATTTCAAGAATCCATTTCCGCCATGTCCTTGGAGGAGTAAAAAAGATCAAATAGGAACATTTCTAGTACAAACTCATATGAACAGACAGAAACATAGGCTTTACTTATTAAAACATTTTAATATCATGTCAATCTGTATTTAAAACAGAAAATACTGTGGAAAAAATTATGTAATTTTATCTAAGTTAAAAAGAGAATATATACTATGTAAAACTACTGTACCATATTTTTAAATTTTTCCTCATTCAGTTCTAGAAAAGCATATTTATACATTTCATTATTACATCTGAAATGCTTTCCATAGATAAAACTTTCTCAAATATCTCAGAAACTTTCTCAAAAACTTTCACAAATATTTCTACTGGAAAAGTAGTCAAGGACAGTAGCTAACTTTCTCAAATACCAGGCAAATATTTCAAATGGAAAAGGAGCTGAAGACAGTAGCTAGTCCCATAGTATTCTATTGCTACGTATTGGAATCCTATATTACTAGGAAGTTTAGAGCTCCCCCGCCAAAAAAAATGGTGTCAAACTTGGCCATCGTAGTGTGAAAACATACACAATTTCTCAACAAAGGATGTAAAATATGCCTAATACCACTTTACTTCCAGTCAGTCATTTATTCCACCAGCAAATATTTATCAAATTCTATCTTAGATTGGCAGAATTTCTTCCATACCTTAAGTTATCCTGAGAGACAACCAAGAATCACAGAAAAATTATAAAAATGTTTAGTATACTCAACAAACCAAAAAAGACTTCATCATAATAGCACAAATACTTGAAAAGTTCCTACATATTTTAGATCAAGAAAATTAGGGCTGGAGCAATAGTACATTAGGGCATTCGCCTTGCACGCAGTCAACCCAGATTCAATCCCGGGTTTTCCATATGGTCCCCCAAGGATCACCAAGAGTAGTTCCTGATCACAGAGCCAGGAGTAACCCCTGAGCATTGCTGTGTGTGACCCAAAAAGAAAAAAAATTAAAAATCTCCTAACTACTTTAATATACTGAGTAAATTTTTAAAGTTCAGAAATTGACTGAATTTTGAAAGCATTCAACATGATAAAGAAAAGTAGAGAGCAGTAAACATCTTGCTGTATGAAAACTAAGAATCATAAGGCATTTGTTTTAATCATCAGTTAAATGTAGTGCCCTGGTGGGGGAGCGGGGGAGGGAAACTTAAATATCATTTAAGCAATACTCATTTTACTGAATACTACTAAAAGACAGAGTACTGGCACCAAAAAAAAAAAAAAATGAACCATACAGCACATAAGGTGCTTACTTTGCATGCCTCCTACCCAGGTACAATTCTCAATAACATGTATGGTCCCTTAAGCACCATCAGCAGAGATTCCTAGGTGCAATCTGCAGAAAGCCTACATCACTGGGTGTAGCCCTCAAACTCTGGCACCGCCCAAAAAATAAAATAAAGATGAAAAACACTACCAAAGATACTGTGGAGTTCAAAATGTAGTAAAGAAAATATTCAAACAAAAATTATAATAATAAGTCAAGTGTTTGGGGCTGGAGCGATAGCACAGCAGGTAGGGCATTTGCCTTGCACGCGGCTGACCCGGGTTCGATCCCCAGCATCCCATATGGTCCCCCGAGCACCACCAGGAGTGATTTCTGAGTGCATGAGCCAGGAGTAACCCCTGTGCATCACTGGGTGTGACCCAAAAAGCAAAAAAATAATAATAACAATAATAATAAGCTAAGTGCTAAGACAGAAGTTGTAGAATAACATGGTTATGCAAAGAGGAGACACTAAAGCAATGACAGAAATAAAGTGTCTTGAGTAACTATAAAATGTATTACTTATACCAGGACACTTCCAGCGAAGAAGGAGGCTCTATTACTTATTAGATACTGAGATAACATGTATAAACTAGACCATTCTGTACCAGGCAACTGGAGACACAGACCACACTAGATGTTAAAAGGAAAACTTCTGCAGGAAGTGACCACTGATAACAAAATGCTTAAAAATAACCAGACAGAATGAACTGGGATGATATCAATAAAGACAATTTGTTAGAGGACAGAAACAATCAAAACTCTAAAAGGGAGTAAGGAAACAACTTAAACAACAATACAACTAAAATAAATAATAAACATTATATTTATAATAGCTAATATTTGTTAAAGTATAGAGGTCAAAATAAAGTATCAATTAAAGGCCGATTCATAATCCTCATTCCAAACCTACACTAAATCAAAAGTTTAGAACAAGGAATATTTGCATTCAGATCACTGTAATGCACACTGAAATTTGAAATTCAATCAAAGAGAAAACCATTAAAAATTTTTACACAGAGACGGAAAAGATTTGTAACTTTCATTAAATACTTGAGTGGGATGATTAGTAGAAGAAAAATAGAAGTTAGAGAGGCTAGAGCAGGATACTATGTAAGGGAAGATAGGCTTTACCAGGATAGTAGTGAAAAGAATAGAGATAGGGGAAAAAAAAGCAGCATAAAATCTTTTTAGATATAATTTTTAAAGTGTTATGTACTGTGAGAAAGTTACATAATAAATTAAGCAAAAATCAGTTAAAGTATTTAAATTTCTTGCATGTGAATTTTAGTTTGAAAGCAAAAATTCGTTAAAGTATTTAAATTTCTTGCATGTGAATTTTACTTTAAAAAGTGAGATATTTTGTTACTGAATTTCTAAACTCTAAAATTACCTGTCATATAAATAAGAATATTGCTCCTATCATCGGAAAGAAGACGTTTTGACCGAGGAGTACTAGGTGGGACCCTTCCAGTTAATACACGTAAAAAATTCTCCACAGTTACCTAAAAATATCAAAGGAGAAATCAGATGAAACAGAAGAACACAGAGAAACCTAATTTTTTAAAAACTCAAAACATTTCATCTTCTTCTCTAAGTATTACTCAGTATAAACTGATGATACAAAGAGAAAAATAACTTAAAATATAATTACTCAAATATATATCTCCAAGTGACTTTGCTTCCATCACTTAAAAAAAGAGAGGGAAAAAAAAAGGAAGAAAAGTGGGGCTGGAGTGATAGCATAGTGGGTAGGGCGTTTACCTTGCACACAGCCAACCCAAGTTTGATTCCCAGCTTCCCATATGGTCCCCTGGGCACCAACAGGGGTGATTCCTGAGTGCAGAGTCAGCAGTAAGCCCTGAGCGCTGCATGGTGTGCCCTGACCCCCAAAAAAGAATATTGCAAAATGATAAATGCTTTAATTGTATTTCTTACTGGCTAACTAGAAGGAAATTTTGTATCTATATTTTATAATAACAAAATAAAAAGTCAGCATTCATACACATTTATTCACAACAGTTTTTAGTGCCTTCAAAGGGCTATGTGTACTTGCTAGATTAAGTTACATAAGACACAAAACTTTTCCTCAAGGAGCTTACTGTCTCAAAGCAAATAAGTATATTTTTTAAATTTCTTCAAAACATGTCTAAGAATATGGGAAATTACTTTTGGTTAGGCTTAGGGAATAACCAAGGAAGAGTTCATCATGTAAGGCTTCACACCTCACACATTTACAGTCAATTAAATTTAAAATAAAGTTTCAAAGGGAGAAAATAGTCCTTTTCATTTCAAATTTACTTTTTTACTTTTAATGAGAAATATGTATAAAACACTGAAAGTACATTAAAAGAAACTGCTTGAGCAGTAGAATATTGGTCATTTAAATCTTTCCAAACTAATAAATTTATTAGAAGCAGAAAGCCTGAAATTTTGGACGATATATGAAACCAAAAAATTTATTATAAAAAAAATTGACAAAGAAACCTGCACAATAATAACAGAACCCAAGGTAAAGTTTTTCTACCCTAGATTCACATACAAAATGTTCCTATAGAAATATTTATTCAAGGGGTTGGAGAGAAAGCACAGCGGGTAGACGTTTGCCTTGCACGTGGCCGACCCGGGTTCGATTCCCAGCATCCCATATGGTCCCCTAAGCACTGCCAGGAGTAACTCCTGATTGCAAAACCAGGAGTAACCTCTGTGCATCGCCAGGTGTGACCCAAAAAGAAAAAAAAAAAAGAAATAGTTACTCAATTATGTTGTTTACCTTAAACCAGCACCAGAGACAATTATATCAAGACTTCAGTGACAATTATGTACAAAGTTTAAGGGGTAAGGTTTTTAATCTATCACTATTTTAGAGCTTACAACAACAGTTACATTTCAAAAATGTTGTTAAATTAAACCACTTACCTCATAGCTTCTATAATCCACTTCCACATCATCTCCATATACATTGAGCTCCATATTCTTGTGACTAAACACTGTGGCTGGTTTGGGATTCCTGGGGTTGCATGCCATATCATCTGCAAGCATCAGAACAATGTGACTAGGGGAAAGAAAAATTCAGTAAATATACCATGTAAATAAAACCAAAAAGTTTAAAAGGATTCATTTTATTTTCATCATGAAGCCACAGTTCACTCTTTTCTTCATTAAAAATAATTTTAAAGTCTGAGATGATTTCTCAAAGGGCTGGAGTACCTGTTTTGGCATTTCGGAGCCCTACATTTAGTCCCCAGCACCACCCCATTCCCCAGGCACTACCAGAATCAAACCCCCAGCACCAAGCCAGGAGTAGCTCCAAAAGATTTCCAGGGGGCGGGGGGGGGGGGGGGGAGGACAGAGGAAAGGGCTTAAAATAATAATTATATTTTTACAGGGGCTTTATTTCTATAAACATAAAATTCTTATTCATGTAAATTTTAAAATAGAGAAACTAAAGCAAGAAGACATGAATATCTACAGAATTTGAAATTACTAACAAATTGTTCTTCCTATAGAGCACAATTCATACATTACATACAAAAAAAGGAAGTTAAATGAGTTCCACTGTTCTCCAAAGCAACACAAAAATTCTTAAGACTTGTAGAATCCATACTAAACTATGATGGCTCAAAGAATTTAACGTTCAGAAATGCAAATGCTTACACCTACAAACACACACTCCATCAACAAGCAAAATCCAATGTGCTGCTGGAACATAACTTCAACCCATCACTCACTAGGGTCTATGCTCAGCTCTCTAATACTAGCCACTACCATTTGTTAGTTAGGTGTTGAGATAAACAGCTCTCTGGCTAATTTCCTGCTTTAGCTCTTACCTTGTGACAGGAAAGACTAAATTTCACCCAAGTGGGAAGCTTCCTTAAAAAGGTCAAATCAGCCTTGTGGAAAGCGGGTTTGAGCCGGGCTCGGGGGAGCGGCGGGGACCTCATTGGAAGGGGGGCTTTGTGGGCCGTCCCCCACGCCCCACCGAGGTCGCCAGCTGCCCCCCACGAGCGGCTCTCTGGCACGGCCACGGCCCCGGAGGCACAAGGACTTAGCACAGAGAACCAGCCGCTTGGAGCAGAAAAGCAAATGGACTTGTGTTGATCCGCGCCACCAAGCCTGCCCGGAGGGGGAAGGGCGTTGACCAGCCCGCCCGCTCCTCTCTGGAAAGAAAGATGGCGGCCGCACGGGAGCCTTGTGGAAAGCGGGTTTGAGCCGGGCTCGGGGGAGCGGCGGGGACCTCATGGGAAGGGGGGCTTTGTGGGCCGTCCCCCACGCCCCACCGAGGTCGCCAGCTGCCCCCCACGAGCAGCTCTCTGGCACGGCCACGGCCCCGGAGGCACAAGGACTTAGCACAGAGAACCAGCCGCTTGGAGCAGAAAAGCAAATGGACTTGTGTTGATCCGCGCCACCAAGCCTGCCCGGAGGGGGAAGGGCGTTGACCAGCCCGCCCGCTCCTCTCTGGAAAGAAAGATGGCGGCCGCACGGGAGCCTTGTGGAAAGCGGGTTTGAGCCGGGCTCGGGGGAGCGGCGGGGACCTCATGGGAAGGGGGGCTTTGTGGGCCGTCCCCCACGCCCCACCGAGGTCGCCAGCTGCCCCCCACGAGCGGCTCTCCGGCACGGCCACGACTCCAGGGCACAGAAACCAATCTCTTAACTAGCTAACTTTTAATAGAAATTCTTCCAGGGTCAATAAGTAAAATAGCAGAAATTCAAAACCGCGCGGCCGCGATAGCGGCCGCGCGACATCATTTTATTCTTAAACCAAGTTGTAGAAAGCAAATCATTTCACAACGCTGTTTCAGCATGTCTGATTGGGGGAGGGGTGGGTCGTAAACTCTAAATAATAATTGTGCATCTTCTATCGAAATAATCTATCTAGTCAAAGTAGATAGAGTATTAACTAGAACTCATCTGCCTCACAAAGAATTGGGAGGGGTGGGAAGTGGGGGTTTATTGGGGTTCGGGGTTAAAAATGAGTATTGGTAAAGGGAAATGTGTTTGGTATCTACATGACTGAGACCTAAACCCGAAAGCTCTGTAACTTTTCCCACAGTGATTCAATAAATAAATAAATTATAAAAAAAAAATAAATAAAAAAATAAAAAGGTCAAATCAGCATTTTCCTGTCCAGTGATTAACATACAGCTCTATCACTGGCCCACATCTCATCCCAAATCAGTAAATTTTTCTAATTTAAAAACCTTCAAGGACTCCCATTAAACTGAAAGGAAAAAATCACAAATCCTCAAGTGGTCAAAAGACACCCAAGGACAGTAGATACAAGGGTCAGGAGGATTTCTCCTTAGCTGGAAGCCCAACATCTGCCATGGAGGTAGGGGGAGGGTGGAGAAGAGGGGGGTATACTGGGGAGATTGGTGGTGGGGAATGTGGAGGGATGGGTGTTTGATCATTGTGTGATTGAACCCAAACATGAAAGCAAGCTTGTAATTATCTCACGGTGATTCAATAAAATTTAAAAAAAAAAAAAACACTCAATGACTGTGTCTTGTATCTCTAACTTCATCATCCCAGTCATCCATGCTCTCAGAGCGCCATTAACACTGACATTTCTCTCTTTTGTGAAATTCCCTTGTGTGAATCTGAAATCCCTGTCACTTTCCACCACAACACTAAAATATAAGCTCTCTGAGAGCTGGCTCTGTCTGCCCTGTTCAATAGGTATCACTCAGGCTTAGTAACAAAGACTGGGATATAGAAGGTATCCAATGAATATTCGTTCAATGAATAAAAATATTTTCACTTCTGCATATATTCAGAGAGAAATTTATAAAAATCTCTCTTAAATGCCTCTCATTATGACTGATGAACATGAATCAAGCAATCTTTATTATACTATATACTTGACCTTCCCAAACATAAGAAGAAAATTAATGTGGTACATGTAATTAGTTTGGCAGGAGACAGCAAGATGAAAATGTTCAGCTGCATGCATATGTTTCAAATGCATTAAAGTTCAAAACTGAAACATTGTGATTTTTCTTGAAAATTGGCTTGATTTCTATTTTGAAAAGGTTCCAACCCTGCCACATTCAAAGATCAGATCCTCAGCTGCTACTGATTCATACCCACGAACGGTGAAATTCTATGAATTTTCTCTTAAAATAGGGAATACATCTTCATACTCTTTTTAAATAATTTTATATGACTAAAACTTATACTGTTATTTAAAATATGGTGACAGAGTGACAGTATAGCAGGTAGGGTGCTTGTCTTGGCACACCTAGGATCGATCCCCAGCATCCGATTTAGTCCCCCGAGCACCACCAGAAATAATTCCTCTGTGCAGAGCCAAGAGTTACCCCTGAACATCGCTAAGTGTGGTCCCAAAAAACAAAATGATAATAATGTTAATATATAGACTGGAGCAATAGTACAACGGTAAGATGCTTGCCTTGCACACAGCTACTAGGGTTCGATCCCCAGCACCACATAAGGTTCCCAGTACCCACCAGAACTGATCCCTGAGCTCAAAGCCAGGAGTAAGCCGTGGGCACTGCCAAGTGTGACCCCAAAACAAACAAAAACTAATATATTACATAAATTATATTTTGGGCTATCCATTATTAAGCAAAATTGAAGTAAACTCCGAATCTCAATATAAAAATAAGAGAATGCCTCAGGTCATGTTTTTGCTTTAAGGTTTAATTTTAGTCTGTGAAATTAAATGATTGCTCAATATTTACATACTGTTAGAATCATAATGTAGTAGAGTAATTTCGGGTTAAATGTATAAATTTAAACATTTTTTTCTCCAAATAAATTTGTCTCTAGATAAGCACTAGAACTCTCAATTAATATAATCACTATCCTAAATCAAATCTGTGAGGCACAAGAGAGAATTTGTGCATGTTCTGCATGCAGGATCTCCAGGTTCAATCCCTGGCACTGCCTACTTCCTGAGGACAGCAGGAGTTACACCTGAGCACTAATCAGGGCCCCTGAGCACTGTGATATGATAATAAGTATATTCATGTATCAAAGATAAAAAACAGGTGTGACATGGACTGAATTTGGAGGTTAGAAGTCCAAGTACATATTCTCACTCACATTTTCTGAAATCTAAGAACTGTTCATGACTTAAAAAAAAAATAAAATCTAAAAAAAAATAAAATCTAACTTGGTCCAAGTTTTAAATTATTTATAGAATGACAGTGAAATATATGTGTAGCAACTAACTCTTCAGTCTTATAATTCTTACAAAAATCATAAAACAAGAACAAAATTACACATTAAAGACTAAAAAAAAAATCTACCAAATTAATTTCTTTCAAAGGATGCCGTCACTTTTATAAGTAATTGACTGCTGTTTTTTTTTCATCAGGAAAAAGAAAGACCACCAGGCTGACAGCTTCAATTTATTTTTCCTATATTTTGATAGTCACACTATAATATAATTTAATGATAGAGAAATGTCTATTCATAAAACTGTGTTGTACAAAATGTGATTCATAAATTCCCAATTCCATTTACTGTTCAGGATAATCAGCCTTTTTAGCTAACTAAAGCCTTTCCCAGTAAACAATCTCCAATCACCAACTAAAATAAGATGTAATTTGTTATGGACTTAGAGTTCCTTTTCCGCTTGAACATCAGATTAACATGATCACAGCAGAAATTAAGTCTTCAATAAGTCAAGATTAAAAAATTTCTACACTGCAGACATTATATATTCCTATGTTACTTTGAGTCTTATTAAATTTAAGATGAAAGTCTTCGAATATATTCATTACTATAAGAACATGATATTCTAGCAGTAATTTGATGACCCCAAAGATCAGTGTGATGATTCAACTCTCATACTTTACTCAAGGCCCTGAAAAACTGACATCACACAGCAAGTCATCAATATAGTGAAATATTAAAGCAAAAGATTAAAAACAATTAGAAAAAGAAATGTTTCTATGCCTCACGTAGTGTTTGTATAACTTAATATACTTGATTTACTATTATAGGCAATATTCTAATAATCTTACAAAAATTACCACAGTCCATCTTCGGAGAATTCTCCTACAATAAGCTTTCTCTAATGTCGCC